CACAAGGAAAAAAAAAAAAAAAAAAAAAGGACCCTTATGCTGTGATTGAGGGCGGATACAGGACGCAGCCAACAACACAGCCATTCCTCGCTGCGAAGTGCCACTCCAAGTTCCACCACGCAGCAGGATCTACCCGCAGAAAGACACACAATGGCAGCCAGGTGCAGCCGGCTGCCCCTCAGCGCAGGGCAGACCCGAATCAAGAAAGCCTGAAACGCGCTGCGCACCTGTCCGCCTTCACAGGTAAGATACACACAATACAAAAAAAAAAAAAAAAACTGACCATCTTTCGGGCCATGTGTCCGCGGCCTCGCAACAATGAACGGCCCCAACATTCTGAATCTATGTGTGGATTACATCCGGGCCGTCGATCTCCCTATTTAACGCACGGTCAGATAACCCTTTCCCGACTTTCCTATACTGGACACGACGCTACGACCGGTCGGTCTCCAGCGACCACGCGTCCTCCGCCGCGACCGCCGCCATGTTACCTCACGGAAAGACCGGTCTGTCTCCTGTCGGCGACCGCAACGCCCTGTATACCCACTTACACCTGTTTTTAAGGCCTAGTTGCACGGCGTTGCACGACTCTCCACCCGACAACATTGTGAATGCGGCTGGACAACGTGGCCGTCTCGCTGCATCCGACAAGGTCGACGACATTCCCCAAACGAAAACGCAGCCACTAAACGACAAAACGCAACACCGTATACGCAGCCATTCCTGGCTGCGCATTTTGGCAACGACGGGGGCAGACTGAAGTCAAATCCGTCAAATCCACGTCTGAATGCGTTAGCCTAATCACGGCCAAATTCAGTCACGCCCAATCATACCCGTTGTATGTATGGATGAATCCATTCTGACAAACAGGCCAAGGTTGAGTCAAAGACTCAAAGGTCATTGAAGACATTTTGTTTTTTCTTTTTAAATGGCATCCATTCTGACAATGAGGGAAAGAGTTTAGGGAAGGTCATTCTTCTTTTAAAGGGTTAAACCACGAGTACTTCGCGCAGCTATCGGCCGCGGCGCTTTCCCGTTAAAGCGCCGCGCCTTTAGGGCTTCGGGGTACCAGACCACAATGGCTGGAAGCGCCAGTCAAAAAAAATTTGAAGCGGTACCCCTGCACTTAGACGAAAATCGGTGCGCAAGGGCATTCCAGGTTCGGCATCGATAGCTGGGCCAAGTACTGGTGGTTTAATAGCAAAAATAATAAAATATTGCTTTTTCGAAGTTTGGCAGCAAAAATGTAGTCCGTTCGAAGTTTCCTTTGCAAAAATAGAGGTTTAGTTGCAGCTTTATCGGGTTCCCATAGTTTGCCAGCAAAAATACCGCGTTTTGCCCAGTTTCACAGCGAAGGACCCCTAGGCCTCTGGCCTCAGGGACTCAGCGACCTGTCTCTTATACACATCTAGATGTGTATAAGAGACAGGGGTAGGGGCCTAGGGGGCCTTTGCTGTGAAACTTGGCAAAATGCGGTATTTTTGCTGGCAAACTACGGGAACCCGATAAACCTGCAACGAAACCTCTATTTTTGCGAAGGAAACTTGAACGGACGACTTTTTTTTTTTTTTTTTTTTTTTTTTCAGTCCATTCATATTTAATTTACCAAGAAGTTGCAAGAACATGGTTCTGGCTGCTACGGGGTTCCCCGTATGCCTACAATTAGGAGTAGTGGTAGGTAGGTAGTGTGAGGTGAAACTGAGAGAAGAATATAGCTTTTTAAAAATAAAAAAAAAAAGAGATCTGCGAGGCGGGGGACCTGACAATTCCACCCGGAGTTATCCCGGCAGCATCAGCCGGCTTAGCTTAAGTCGGATCATGTTAACTTCCTAAACCAACAAAACTGAGTCTTTTCCCACAACAATACCTCTGCCGGCACCTATGGCTGTTCTGTCTCCTAGGTAAGCCCTGATCTCCCTATCCTACCAACCCTACTACCCTAACTAACCATACTCCTCTCTGAACTATACTCAGACCTACCACGGTCTGGAGCTCGGCCCACTGCGACCGAGAAGAACTGAGTTCCTACTCCCATCCCCTGACACTCTCCTTCCCACCACCCCCTTATGGTCTACTGCGACCATGGACTGGAACCGAGTGCCCTGGTTCTGAGCAACATCCTACCTAACCCTACCCTCTAATGTACTAACCACTAAAGTCTTCATCTATCCAACCAAGGCGAGGTGTGCAGTCTCCCTTGTTTGATTTCCGCCAGGGCACCCTGGCTTGGCCCATGTGTCAGCAAACCAGCGAAGCCCCGCCTGCCTGCTTCCTTGAATTAGGGCAGACTGCGGCAACAGCCTGTCGGGAGACACGGTAAACACGGGCAAGTACTCAGCATACTCAGCAGCAAACACATGCATATGGACAAACACGCGGGTACCAACTCGTCTGAGCTCACAAAATAGCAGTGGTACCCTCGAGTTCAACCTCCAAAACGTGAGTTGCTCACACTTCATACAAAGTACATCCCATGCCACCATAGCAGGATCTCCCTATGAAAACGACATAGCATCTCCTTCTACCGGTTTCATCCGCATGCTACGCGGAATCATCAGGAAGGCGTGCAAACACGCACTTTAGTCGAAAAGAGGCCAACAGCCTTGCCTCTTGCGTACTTATAGATCCATGTACTAGGTACTTCCTCTCGTGTCTCTTCCTACATTGTCTCTAGTCCCGTCGGCGGGTGTCGGGAAAACGACGCGAATCTTCTCGGCCGGTTCAAAACTCCCGCAAAAGACCAAAATAAATAAAATAAAATAAAAAATAATAAACAAAATAATAACAATAATAAAAACAATATAGACCCAAACCCAAACAAAGCAGATGGCCAGTCTCGCCATATAGGCACATGTCTGGTCGGCAACGGTTACAGTCAGCTGTCGTTCCGACAGCGTCCGCGTCCAGTCTCAACCGTCGCATTGTCGGAAACGGGTTAACCTCAGCCTTCTTTTTCTTTCATCCGCCTGTTGCCGAAAACACACCATGAGGATACTGAGGGCCTTGCACCCCGTAAGCCTAGCCAACTTGGCAAAGGCGCCCTCTGAAACCTCCGGGTTGTAGCCCCGGAGGATGCTCTCAGTAACCGCGTAGGCCACAGAGCTCACACACAGTGCAGGTGAGGTCGAGGAGAACCATAACTTTTTTAAGGTAGCTGACAACACCCCTTTCTTCGACCGTTTCTCAGAGTAGCTAGCGTAGTCTTGCATGGAATGATAGCGCAGTTCGCCTTTCTCTCGGAGTGCCTCGGTATTCTTTGTCTCTTGTACGAATACCATCTGCACCGGCTTTGAGAGGACGTACATATGTCCCCAAAAAAAACTCCAATGGTTCGATCCCTCGTCCTTTCGGATGAGCTTCAGCTTGGAGTCGTACGCGCCTTCGAACTCTTCCAGTATTTGACCGGCTTTCCTTCCTGATTCCGTATCTTCGCTGCACCCAACGACAATGGAGACATCATCTACCATCCTCCATCCCTTAACCAGCCTCCTATCTTCGCCGAGATTGGTCAAGAACGTTGCTTCTGCCATGGCGCAGGTGATGGTCGCCAACACCGGGCTCGAGGTTTCCCCATGGGAATCCCGACTATCTGCCGTTACACCATATCTCCGCACTTCATGTAAGCGTGCGCCAGATCGTACCGAACCATCTTCCGTATTGTGTTGAAATCTACAGTGACATAGCCCGGTTCCTTCCGTCGTGTATTCGAGAGCACACACGTCTTTCCTCTGACGGCAACCTTAACTTGCCTCCACCCTCTCTCTCTTCATAATGTTCCAAAATATTTGAGACTGCTTCTTCCACCGAAGTGTGCGATATCGAAGAGAACATCTCTTTGATATCGTAGCACCTTCCCAAAGTTGTGGTACACCCTTGCTTCTGGAACTCTTCTCCTGCGTTTTCCAGGTTTTCTCTCAGTTCACAGCTTGAACCAAGGTGGAAACTCATTGCGAACCTCCGTACCAGGCAGTTCAGCGCTCTTGCGCATCTCCTCTGCCCCATGGCCGCTGGGTCTGCACACGCGGGGGCTATGGGCCTCCACCGTAGGAGGTCTTTGTCCTTCGGTATCATGTAAGTCTTCCCCAACTTACCATCCAGTTTCCACTTCCCCACTGCTTCCAGACCAGCTTCCACATAGTCAGCTTTGCACAGCTTGAGCACCTCATCTTCTGCTATCTCTATGATCTCGTAGTCTGCGTTCCTAACGAACATCTTACCGTAGCCATGTCTGTAGAGCACCGGGCATACCAGGGCGGTGTCTCCTGGATTCCTGTCTACCGGTGTCATTACTAGACCTTTGTACTTCTCCGCCCACCGTCTCACCTCTTTCTCAGTCCACGCTACATGCCTCGCATCGTCTTTCTTGAAACAGGAAGATACATCCAAACTCTCCGAGCGCCTCCTTCCCAGATGCGTAGTTGCCGTTGCGATCCCCAGATCGATCGCCTCCTTACTGGTACCCTTGCCTAGCCTCGTAACATTCTTTGCATTCTGTACGAAAGCCGGTGTTCCTTCTACCTCCCGTAGTCTAGTGAGGACATGCCCTTCTGTCTTCTCCAGGTTAAAACGCGCGCAGTTACAGTGCACAGTTTCCGTGTGGGCATAAGCCCTATGGTTGTGCATGACTTCGTCGACCGTCTTGTTCTTAGTATTCACTATTCTAACCTTGCCCTTCACAAAATCAGCTACGGCCTTCTCCTGCACCGTACATTCAATCGCGGACTCTGTAAGTCGTCTCACCTCGGCTTTCTTGATCGTTGCGCAAAAGGGATACTTAACTGTAACTCTCCGCCGAACGCTGACACCAGTCTTAGCTCTAATCATTCGGTCTAATTTTAGTTTGAGTTTGTTCCTCGTCTCTTTTCTGCCGAAAAACCCCGCAGTTCTGTAGAGTCCCAGTAGTTTCGTAGTAGTGTAACGCCCTACCGTTGTCGCCTGTTTTGGTTTCCTGAGGAGCTTCTTGAGTACAACCTTGTTGCGCTCAGAAGTGGTCGACGTTCTCACAATCTTCACAAAACGCACCTTACCGCCTTTCTCACACAAGTTCTTCGCCTTTGCAAGAGTCAGCAGGCTTCCTCCGATGTTGAGTTCGGTCTCACCGTACCTTGATCTCACCGTCTTCCATCCATCTGACCAGTGTTGCCCTGGTACAAAATCGACCTCCAGTTGTTCCCCCTTCGCTCCTTGTCTCTCTTCCAGCCATTTTATAAGCGATGTACGTCGCCTGTCTTCCGTGACGAAGCTAACAATCGGTAAACCCTTCGTTCCCCCTCCTCTCCGCTTTCGTTCCCTTCTCCATCTCCTCTTCCGACCGCCAATCTTCAAACGTCGCCCTGTCCCCATCGTGTTCAGACTCGGGGACAAGTCCCCGATCAGATACCGTTCAAAAGCAAAGTCATCCTCAGTCGTGGTGTGCTTGATCGGAATAACCACGAACTTCTCTACGCCAAAAACCCTCATCCATCGGTATAGTTGTGGTGTCTTACCAAGGGCATTGGAGTTCGCTGCCTTTACATGCTCCTTCCACCTTTGAGCGATAGGTCTAGCGGTGCAGCCAACATACACCTTCTTCGACCACGGACTGGCTACGATGTAAGTGCCTCCGCTCCGTAATTCTACGACGTCCTTGCTAAGATCTGCCTTATCGAGGTACTTAGAGAGCCAACTGATCTCCCCCGATAGTCCAAGGAGCACGACTGTTGTCGTGATCCTTCTTTCCACTGCCATCGCCTGTTCTCCACCTGTGCAACTCTCCCAGAGAATCTGTCTTTTCTCAATGTCGTCGCGTAGAGACTTCCAGAGTTCGTTGGTAGTCGGTGGTCCTAGTCAATCTGACCCAGGTTCAGGAACGGGATCCGGCACAGGATCCGATCGAAGGAGAGTACGAGGTGGTATGAAAACCTTCGTCTTTCCCCGATTATTGATTGTCGTCTTGCTCCTGGTATGGACTGTCGTCTTGACAGCCCCCACCGGTGTTGCGTCTTCATGTGATTCTAGGCTCGCTCTTCTCCCGCCCGTTTTTCCTCCCGGTGTATCAAAGAAACCTTCGTGCTCGTTCGGTCTGCCTTCTTACCAGCGCCACGATCATTTCGTCCTTCTTAGTCGACCATATACCTGCCTTCTCGCATATCTCCTTCAGTTGCGAGGCCTTCTTTGCGGAGTATGCTTGGTGTACCGCCAACGTGTACTCGAGCAGACCTTCTCCCGAACACCCAACGGAGATTCCCTTATGACCATTGGTAAGCGGCGTTACTGGCTCGCAGTCTTCGTTCGCGTCTGCTACTGCGGTGTGCCGTGAGCATTCGGCGATCTCGAAGCTTTTGTGCCCGTTCTCAACGGTCCTCCGCGAGGATGCTTCTTCTTCTTCGTTTTCGATCGCTGTTTCTCTTCTCGTAGCAGGCGTGCGATCTTTAGGATTTCTTCCTCGGTATCTTCATCGGAGCTACTTGGCCTTGAACTGTTGCTGCTGTCGGAGTCGAGGCTGGTTGATGACTCTGCCGCTCTTCGTGTGTTCCTTCGTTTCTTGCATTGTTTTGTCTTCTTTGTCTTGACATCCCTTTGGCGATGGTCTTGCTGCGTGGGGATATCTGTGGGTTGGCGCTGTTCGTTCCTTTCAGACTGTTTCCTTTCCCCTCGCCGTCCCTAGCCATCTTCGCCTTCTCAGCCGCCTCTTGCTGCTGCTTCCTCCATTTCTCTTCGATCTCCGCTTGAAGCTGGAGCTTCATCTCTTCTGTTCGCCTAGCTATGTCCAACTCTCTTCTCCTCTCCTCTTCTTCCTTCAAACGCCTCTGCTCTTCCTCCGCCCGCTTCTTAGGTTCTTCCTTTTTTTCGTCCATTAGTTCTCTAACGAAAGTTTGCATGTCATCTTCTTGATGATTCCCACTCCTCCCACGTTTGGCCCAGCAGTCTCGCGCAAAATGCCCCGTCGTCCCGCATTCATAGCAAGTGACCGTGGGCCGCCCGCCGTATCCTCCGTTGCCGTTGTTGTTACCATTGTTCGTACCGTTTCCATTATTTCCGCTATTTCCTCCTCCTCCGTACATCCTGCCCCTATTTCTGTCTGATAGTCACTAGGATATTCGGCAAAACGAAACAAATATTACCGATAAACAGTTTTCCGTCGACTACGATATCAAAATAGTATTCTTTGTCTGCATGGGTTATAGTATTGGCTTATCAAATGTGAATCACTAAGGTATCGATGATCCAGGTACCATAGCACGTATTTGTGCAGTTCGCATTACGTGATCAAAGTGAGGATCACTATGAGAGAGTCGGCAGAAAACTTCTTAGTGGCTGTCCGTCATAGAAGATTGGATCCACAATCTCGTCGACGCATTTTCTACTTGCCACGAACTTCAAAACTCGGTTATCCAACCCGATAAATGTACTAGAAAACCTCCTCCGGCTATGGGAAACAAAATATTCCCTGACTAAAATATAAACCCAGAACCAAACTCAGTAACCTCAGATCTCCAAATTTTGAAAACCACTGAAACGGTGAAGCTCTCTTCCTGACCAGAATACAAACTCCGAACAAAACTAAGAATACTCAGATCTCCGACTAGACGAGATCACTAGCATAGCGAAGCTCACCTCTCGGGCAAACTACGATCCTAGAACGAAAACCCACCTAAGAATACTCAGATCTCCATATAGACGAAAACACTTAGCGAAGCTCACTTATCGACCAGAATACGATCTCAGGACGAAAAACTAGAATAGCAAAGCTCACTTCTCGACCAAAATACAATCTCCGAACACATCTAACACAGCCACCGCAAGGCTAAAAGGCTCCGGTTACTGTGTTCCCTCACAGGGCGGACTGCGGCAACAACCCGTCGGGAGACACGGTAAACACGGGCAAGTACTCAGCATACTCAACAGCAAACACATGCATATGGACAAACACGCGGGTACCAACTCGTCTGAGCTCACAAAATAGCAATGGTACCCTCGAGTTCAACCTCCAAAACGTGAGTTGCTCACCCTTCATACAAAGTACATCCCATGCCACCATAGCAGGATCTCCCTATGAAAACGACATAGCATCTCCTTCTACCGGTTTGATCCGCATGGTACGAGGAATCATCAGGAAGGCGTGCAAACACGCACTTTAGTCGAAAAGAGGCCTACAACCTTGCCTCTTGCGTACTTATAGATCCATGCATTAGGTACTTCCTCTCGTGTCTCTTCCTACGTTGTCTCTAGTCCCGTCGGCGGGTTTCGGGAAAACGACGCGAATCTTCTCGGCCGGTTCAAAACTTCCGCAAAAGACTAAAATAAATAAAATAAAATAAAAAATAAAATAAAAAATAATAACAATAATAAAAACAATGTAGACTCAAACCCAAACAAAGCAAATGGTCAGTCTCGCCATATAGGCACGTGTCTGGTCGGCAGCGGTTATAGTCAGTTGTCGTTCCGACAACGTCCGCGTCCAGACTCAACCGTCACATTGTCGGAAACGGGTTAACCTCAGCCTTCTTTTTCTTTTGTCCGCCTGTTGCCGAAAACACACCATGAGGATACTGAGGGCCTTGCACCCCGTAAGCCTAGCGAACTTGGCTAACCTCAGCCTTTTTTTTTCCTCCAGTCAGCACGGATTTCTGTCTTCAGTAGGGATCTGAACAGCTTTTCCACCTGTGGTTCTGACAAATCTTGGTCCCGAAACCTTCTCCCATTCAACAGAAAAATTTCCTAGAATTAAATAATCCTTCTGAAGTAAAATTACATTCTAAATTTTAAAATTTCATTCCATCTTAAAAAATGTCATTCCAATTTTAAATTTTTTTGTCTTACTTGAAAACTTTCCCTCCAAGAATGGGGTATCCCTTCTTATTTGAACTGCATGCTAGAGATGGATTGAAAGCCTGGATGAGTTCATGAAATATTTTAATTGGACTTTCATTCTAAGTAAGGATTTCCAGTCATAAATATGTTAATCCAATTTAAATTAGAAGATATTTCTTGTAGTAGAATGAAAGTTTGATTAAAATATTTCATAAACTCGTCCAGACTTTCATTCCATCTTCAACAAATAGATGTAGTTAGACGGGAAAGTTCATATTTCGACGGGAACTTATCAAATTAAATTGAAAATTTTAGAATTGGATGAACATTGGAATGAAAATTTATAAATATGAAGGATTTTTTTTTTATGGAATGTTTTTTCAACTTTTATTTCTCGTGGGAATTTTTATGTTGTTCCTATCCTTCCAGATTACCCACATCATGGCGGCTCTCCCTGTCTGAGCCGTGTACCCCCAACCCTTGCTGTTGGGCTCTCCTTCCGGTAGGAACCCCTGCAGTACCCAATCCATTTTCTGCACAACTTTCCTTCCCGACATTTTTTCCCAATGTGCAAGCCACCACAACCACCATTTCTTGGATCTGGGGCACTCCCACCACATGTGGGTCATGGATTCTACTGGCCATGTGCATCGGTCGCAGTCTTTTTTTTTTTTTTTTTTTTTTTTAATTCAAAAAACACACCCCTTGCAATGCTAGTGGTGCTGGTAAGAGCAGACACCGCTAGCATCTGGGGGGCTCCATCTATTGGTGGGGAGCGTCACCTGCTGGAAAACGGGTCCAGCTTCCATTTACAGAATGCACAAAGCAGAATGAAAAAATGATTGTTAACCCTGCCAGCATTGATTACTCTGGTGTCCAGAGGATTGACTGCGCAGGTTGTAAGAGGAGGGGAGAGAAACCTCTTCACCCCTGTACTGGGCGCCGAATGTCTAAAGCTACAAAACTAGTTCCTCCCCCTTCCTCAAGCGCTATCTGCTGCTGCAGTTCCCTCCAATGCTTCCAATTTAACAACGTTGCCCACTGTCTGAATAACTCCGGATGTCTGTATTCTATGTATGCGGGGTCCACCCCAGGGGGCACCAGGGAGGCCGCCCATCTGGGGGCGTTTCTGAGGAATGTAGCGGAAATCTGATGAAGGCAAGGGGATTTTGGATGTTGGAATCAGGATAAAATTTCAACCATGGACAAGGTATGGGGCAGGAAGGGGTCTGGAAATCCGAGGGAGGACATAATGGGAATGAGGGCTCTATGTTTGTCCAGTCTTTTAAAACGAGATGCTAGTCTTTTCGGTCTTCCAAATCGTGCGACTCTTCCCTAAATTCTCCACTCCACACTACTTTTGCAACCCATCCTTCTCTTTCCCCACCTAACTAGTCCCTGCAAAATACCGTAATCCGTCTCCTAACATCTCCAATTTGTTTAAAGGAATCCAATTGTGCTCTGGTGTCCAGCCATCTACGTGTGAGTTCAAAGTGAACTAGCTGCTGGATCTGTTCAGTAATCTCTGCCCCCTCTACCCGTACCCTTTCCATAGCCAGGGTGCATCTCTGCCACCAAAGTGCCCATAGCACCGCCCTTCTTCCAATCGTATACATGTTTTTTGTGAATGTCGTGGTTGTTCCTGCCTGTGACCAATACCCAGCCAGACTAAGTATGGCTTGCCATAACCAGGGCCAGGGAGTATCTGACACCAATTTCCTCCAGATACGGTCCCACCACCTCCTTATGAATTGGGCAATCGGGCATTGCATGAAGATATGCTCAATAGTCTTTGCCTTCTTGTGGAAGGGGAAGAGGCTTTGGCACCTCTGGCACCAAGGAAGCAAAATACCTTTTTGTTCAAGGTTTGTGTGGCTAATTAACCAATAGTTGGTTGGCAGGCAGCGGTGGGCTATCTGCCATTGTAGTGAAGTGATTTTCATGGGTTTAGATTTTTGTTCCTTGAACCATTTAATCGGTGTCAAGAGGGTGCGGTCCACATTAAGATGCCTAGCCCATCTATCGTTGATCATATCCTTCAGAGATCGCCTTGGTCTGAGCATTTTGTAGGCTGATCTAACTGTTACCTGGTACAAATTAATGTGTCTCGTCTTGGGGACACTTCTCGTATAGGGAATATCCAAGTCCATTCCACCGGATGCAGAGGCATGTCTTGGATTGGTATGTTGGGTCCGAAAGCCCTTTTTTGTCCTTTCTCCTCTATCACCCTTATTCGATGTATGGTTGTTTTATATGTCCATTCGAAGGGGGCTCTACTTCCTTCGAGGGCGTTTGTTTTGTCAGCTGTCGACTAAGACTGCTCGGGGTGAAACCATGTGAATCAAGCCAATCTTCCGCGGGGACCCGGTGCTGGCCACCCAATCCCCTTCTCTCAGGGTAGGGCCCTGTCTGAGGATTCGGTACCATTCCAGTGGAATGGCTTCAACCAGGTTTTCCAAAGATTCATCCACATGGTGGCAGGTAGTTAAGGTTGCTCTCAGTCGGTGCCCGGTTTTCAAGTCTTTCCTTTCCATGTCCCAAATGTCCCTTATCCTGAGAATCTCGTGCTTAACCCAGCCTTTCCAGAGCAGGGATGAACTTTCCATCACACGACCCCTTGTGTCAGTTACCCATCTGTTACCGAAGAGGGGCTGCCGATGGATTTCCTCTCATCGATCAGGGTGGACCTTGTCAGGGAGTGGGAGTTTCACCAGGTCATCGGTCACAATCTGATCTGACCTGCATGCCTCTATCCCTTAGCCATTTGGCAGTCGGAACAGCCAGATGTGATTGCAGCCACAATAATGAAGCTATCTTCTGTGAGTGCAAGCAAGCCAGTTGACTCCAGAGCCGTGTCAGTTGCCTCTTCGTGGGGACCGGAATGAACGATTGAGCCTTTTCTCACCGGCCAATCAGCTTTTGTGGGTGAGTTCCTCGTTTGATTCGTCTCCTTGTGATCAGTGCCGAGCTCATACTGTTCAGATCCTTAACTACATCGTTTCCCACCTTCCATCCCCACATCCCAGGATCAATTCTCATCTCCTGAACAGGCACTCCTCCTGCAAGAATGTTGTATGTTGGAGTGGAACACCTGCGGCCTGTCCGTTGAGCTCTTACTCTTACCTCATTCAGTCCACCCACGCCTAACCGGCTCACTGTGTTTGTCCGACTTAGCGTAGCCTTCCATGGTTCCAATGTGCTGTACTCGTCCAGTCTGCATCTCCCACTCCCATCATCATCCTGTTAAACAATTGGTAGAATCTGCCTTCCTCCCCGTTCTGACTGTCCCCGTACCATGTTCCCGGGGGGGGGTAGCCCAACAACTGTTTCCAGCTATCTGGGATCGCATGTATCAGCCTGGCCATCCTCTCCTCCTATGCTGGTAGGCGCCCCAATTTTCCCCTGAGGGCCTCTGCCGAGATCCATTGGTTTGTTATTTCATTCCAGAGGTCCTCAATTACCGCCACTCCTCGTTGGACCCATTTCCGCCCAAATGACCCCGGTGTGGAAGCCGCTGAGAACACTGATCCTCCCTGCTCACCAGAAGTTCATTGTCGAACAACGCTTGGGCTTTAACCTCTTCTTTCGAGCTTGGTTGCTCCCGGTGATCCGGCTTCACTTGTTTCCAGGCTTGTAGCACATTGCTCCAAAACGGGGATATTATGTGTCTGTTCAGGAATGAGTCCATCATAATTGCAACCCATACGTCAGCGGGGGGGCACAATCCCCACTCTTCCATCAGAATCTGCTCAGCCATGCAGCACCAATCCGGCAGTGTAGGAGCTTCAGCTACCTTGATCAGCCATGGGGAAAGTAGTGTCAAGTTTTGGGTGCGTGGATCAGATATCGCTAAACCCCCATCCTCTCTTGCTGCACACAGGGCCTCTCAGGCCACTTTCGCAATGTACCCCTGGTTATCTTCCGCATTTCAAACTGGCTTCCACAGGAAATGACGAGCAACGACACAAATACTTTTGATAGTGAAATCAGAGAGCTTGAACATCCTCAGGACATACCATAGTAAGGCGAAAGCTGATACTGTGAGGACTAATGCTCTTCCTACCAGAGAGAGGTGCGGGGCCTTGCCCCAACTTTCGATTCTCGCTACTACCCGTTCCTTCAGGATCACGTTCTGGGATGAGGTCGAATCTCCGAGGGCTATCATCACCCCAAGAAACCTTTGCGCTTCTCCCACCGGTACCCTCTGCATTCCCCACTGTACTTGGAGCTGGTAGTCCTTGGGTAGGAAGAAGAAAGACTTATTCCAGTTAATGGCCGCCTTAGAGAGCCCCACATATTGTTGAAGACATCCTTTCAAAGCTCCCAGCGATTCTACAGTGTTGGTGGAAAGGGCAAACAGATCATCTGCCAACGCCTTCACCCGACATTCTTCTCCCCCTGCTAGTTTCAGACCTTCAACTAGCGGATTGGATCTGATCGAGGACAGCAGAACCTCAAGTTGCAGAACAAACAACAGGGGTGCGAGTGGGCAGCCCTGACGCAACGACCGGCTGAGATGGATTTCCTCTGAGCTCACCCCGTTGATCTCCACTACTGCTGTTGAGAAGGCATACAAGACTCTAACCCTGCGGCAGAACGGCTCGTCAAACTGCGTTGTCTTTAGGGTTGTCATGACGAAGGTCCAATTGACCCTGTCGTAGGCCTTCTCTAGGTCGATCAGCAGCACTGTGACATCCACATTCTCCTTCACTATGATCTCAGACGACTCAATCGTCGTTAGAATGTTCTCGAAAATCGATCTTCCTTGGACACACGCCCCCTGGTCTTTCCCCTCCAATAGCGGGAGAAACTTGCCCAGTCTGCATGCCAGTGCTTTTGCCAGGATTTTGTACATCACGTTAAGTAGCGAGATTGGCCACCAGTTCCGGATGTCGCTGCGATCACCCTTCTTGTACAGCAGTGAGATGACCCCGTTGGTCATTCGCTTCCCTAAAGTCCCCCCTGTCAATACCCCGTTGTTCAGTTTGACCACGTCTGCCTCCAACTCCTCCCAGCATGTTTGGAATAATTCTAGTGGGAGTCCGTCGTCTTCAGGCGCCTTCCCCTTTGCCATTGTCTTGATTGTATGTCTGAGCTCCTCTTCCGTGATGGGTCTGTCCAACTCCAGCCTGCCATTCTCTAGGAGTCTAGCCTGCAAAGTGTCCCAGACTCGGAAGGCGTTTTCTTGTGCGAGGTCCGTGTCCCAGTCCCAGTATGGTTTCCGAGTCGCCAGGATGTCCCTGAAGTAGTCTGCAGCATATTCACTCATCTGTTCATTGGATGTGGCCAAGGGCTTACCGAGGAGATGAGGGTGTTGTAACTCCCTTATTTGCACCATACGTTGCCTCGGTAGTAACTTCTTAAAAGTTTCTTAGACATTCTATCGCTGCTGACCACTCCTTTTTCCTTCAAAATCTCTTGCCACCGCCCTTGCTTCTGCGCCTACAAATTTTCCCATTCGTTCAATCTGGCTGACTGCTCCTCGGCCCATACCCAGTCTGAGATCAGGTGTCTCCCCATTAGTTTTTCCGCCTCCTCCACTCTTTTCTGACAATCTGCCTCCTCTTTGTTCCTCAGGAAGGCAGCTATCTTTGAGAATACCTCAAACTTCTCAGAGATAATCCGTAGGCCTGCGTCCCACCACTCATGGTACTCTCCAAAACTCTCCTTTGCTCCCTGCCAGTCCGTCCAAAACTCCTTTACCCACGCCCGCCATCCTTCATCTTCCAAATTTTGCTTGTTCAGCTTGAAGTATCCCGGTCCTCTCCTGTTCTGAGACGTCACCTGGACCTCAAGGGTCACTGGTTTGTGGTCTGATAGTGACGCGTTCTTCTCTTCCACACTCTGTGCTCCTGTTAGGACGACAAATTTGCTGCCAAACTTTGAAAAAGCAATACTTTTGAAATTAACCCTTTTTTAAAAGGCCGTTCTGGATGATTGATTTTGGGCTGATTACGTATTTTATGAACATGGATCATCTGCGCAGGAGGTGGGCAGATGGAATTTCAATGAGGGAGTGTCGCTCGTAGCATGGTCCATCCCGTGAGTCTGTCTTCTTAGACATGTTTTTCGTCTGTTTCTAGGCAGGTAGCATTTTTTTTTATTTTTTTATTTTTATTTTTTTTTTTTTTTTTAATAAGCAGGCCGATGGCCTTGAGATATCAACTGACTGGCCCTAAAAGAAGTGTGTGAAGACAGTCGAAAAACGGCCAGTGACGGCTCGTTAGGCTGACTCCGTATTCAGTTAGCAGTCGAAAGCAAGTTCGTCACCATCGGAAACTAGGACACACTGGAAAAGGAGGGAGAGGGAGAGGAGGGAGAAGACTCTCGCCAAGTGGTTAGCCCCTACCACTTAGGTTAGGGTTATGGCGGCAAAGTCAACTCTCGCCAGCAAGTAGAATCCGCTCTGATACCAATGTTACGATCCTGGCCACTTTCGAAGTATACATTCATCAGAGAGTACAATGCCGTCCAATTGCAAAAAGAAATGAATGAGCTTGAGAGGAGAGAGAGGGAAAGAAGAAGAAGAAGAAGTAACAAAGAAGAAGAAGATGATGTACTCCAGCATCGACCAAAGATAAGGCTCTTCTTCTTAGCCAACCAATCTCCTCCTCCTTATCCCCTCCCCTCGTATTCAAACAAGAAATGACAATAATAATGTTGAATGGCTGAACCAGAATCAATGTCCGAATCCCACTTCTACTGCAGGCGCAACATGAGGTCCACCATAGCCATGGCCACCCTTCTCCTTCCTCTCGCATGTAGGCGAGGCTATGGCGGACTACTGAGGGATCAATCTGCTTTCCAAAGGACAACCCAAAACAGCTGTGTTGCTGCCTTCCTGTGCAAAGGACAATGCAAAGCAGCTATGCCGCTGCTCACTAGGCCGCCATGCCTGTCTCTGCCCTGAGTTTCCTTGGTGCGGCACTACCCCAACGGGGGCTTTCCAGATGCAGCGCCTAACAACGTGATGAAGATGGTGTCCACCATAGCCAGGTAGGTACCTCGCCACTCTCCTCCTTAGTCCCCTTCTCCCTCCTCCTCCTCTCGGTAGAGCTCCACCATAGCCAAGGTGGAAGCTCCCTGCATCTTCCTCCCAGCAGCGCTGTAGTACCCAGCGCTACTCCAGCCAGCGCTCCAGCAGCGTGTCGCCAAACATGCACACTGAAGAATGAGGCCGAGCTCTTCCCTCGGCCTCTTGATATAGCGGCCTGCTTGCCTCCTGGGCGGTGACTTCCAGGCCGCTCGGCCTCCCAAACAACGGGTACCTCCTCCCTTTTGGAGGGAAACATCATGATTGCAGACTATGATATTGCCCGTACAGGCTCTAGACTCAGACTGGATGGACTGGTACCGGCCTAGACCTAGCCTACCGCTACTGGGCCTCTAAAAATGCCAACTTTGTGTTCTTCTGCTCGGCCTCGAGTACCCGGCACATCTACTGCTACTGGGTGCAGTACCGGCCTACCTGCTACTTGAGTGTTTTTCGGCTACTCCAAGGGCCGCGGGCTTCTGGCTCCGCCACTTGAGTGTTTTCCCCTGCTGCAACCCTCAATGCCACGGCCACACGTAAGTACCGGCCCTACGGGCCTGCCAAACAAGCAAGTACCCTTGCGGGTCACACACACACTCATGCCGACAAGCACTCAGACAGGCACACACACATACAGACTTAGAAAACACAGCAGAATGCGGGAATCTCAGCAGGGCACCCATTCCATCGTCAGAACTTCAGAAATCAGCAGTGTTCTCAGTCTGTGTTATAGCGGGTCATTACAATACGTTATTTTGTTATTCTGACTGCATCTGGATTCGAACGTGGGTCTGTATTACAACAGTTCATGGATCTACCAACTGAGCTAGGCCTGTTGGTAGGTGGCCCTGTTTTGGGCTTCTGGGGTTGTTTTCGGGTAGTGGGTTGGTTATTGGCAAATTTGGTTGGTGTTTGTGATTTCTCTTTTTTCCCACTTTTTCTTCCGTAGCCAACGAGTGTACTCGCAATGACAAATACACACATTAAAAGAGGATGTTCATATGAGGAGTCGACTGTAAAGAGAAACCAGAAATGAGGGGTTCCTGGGCTAATTGCCAGGAACTGGTGGATGGCAATGGGCTGAGCCTCTGAGGGCGCACCCCCGGAGTGCAGACGTTAGCGTAGCTCTTTTGCTGAGGTGGTCTAAGTTGTTCGTATGCTCAGTTTTATCACCAACTTGAAGCTGAAGGTGGGTAACGGCCCCGGTAGCAGGATGCAGTTCAAGATCGCACCTTGGATGTATCAAGGACAATGGACCCGCTTTCCAGCAGGTGCTGATCCCCACCAATGGACTGGAGCATCTGCCGCAAGGCCTACTAGGGGAAGCTGCTCTTACCACTCCTCCTAGTAGACTGAGACAGTTTTGTTAAGAACAAATAAAAAATCAAAGGAGTCTCATCCCTGGATCTCTGCCAGTGACAGGGGGTGCGGTGGGAACAAGTCCGGAAGTCAGCTGCCGGTCATAGAGGGATACTTGGATCAAGTACTAACCACCCCTTAAACTAAAAACGATAGTCCTTGCAGATGTTGTCCACTTCACGTCCCGTGCCACGTGCCCCGCTGTCTGTCCATTTGACTTTTGCAATCCATCCTCTCCAGTCTTCCCCAAGTCATTCCCTGCAGAACCGAGTAAATTAAATGTGTTTCTTGACATTCTTGTGTCTTTGGAAAAGGTCCAATTTTGTGACTCGACTGAAGTTACCCCTTTTTTCTAACTAGATGCCAATTATGCGTCAATGTGCATTCGGTTTGGATGTGCTGGGTGATTCGCTCTCTTAGTTACCTCCTTCCACCCGTACTCCATCCAGGGTGAGAATGCAGCGTTGCCACCAGAGGGCCCAGAGGATAGCCCGCCTTCGCAGGTGGAACATATTCCCTGAGAATTCTTCTCGAAAGAGATGGCCAATGCCCAGTCAGAATAGCAGGCCACTGCCATGGCCAGGTGGAGCCTGGGACTATTTGCTGCCACAGCCTGTCCCACAAGCGCCATGTTCAGACTGAGGAGGGGTGATGCTGGAAGACATGCTCTATGGTCTGTCCTCTTTTACATGGCGGGTAACCTCTGGAGACAGCGTGTGCAACAGGGTAGGGCACACCCCTGCTACTTCAATTCCATGTGATCAATGAACCTGTTGTTGGTGAGGAGGCAGCAGTGGGCGTCGGGCAATTTGCTATTCAATTTGTAAAGATGTGATCTTGGCCAGCATCCGCCTGTTATCTTCGAACTACTTCATTGGGCGTATGTGACGCGCTAACCTCACGCCCTGTGCTGTCTTCCGTTCGGAGTGTTAGCTGTGCGGAAAAGAGGCCCAGAAAAACAGCAAGAAGGGGTGTGCCAAGGATTTTTGGAAATTGAGTGTGGGGACACAGACGGAACTGAAATCCCCCGTGTTGGTCCGATGAAGCAAGTCGATTAGTTTCGCGTGTCGCGGAATGCGCGCGCGGACTTGGCGCGAAAACAGAAAGATCCAAATTCAATCCAAAAAGTATTGTCGGGTTTCCCACCGAGCTACAGCCCATCGTTTAGAACGGAAAGGCTCTGGCACGCTTCGCGTGTSTCGTTTTCGTATCAGATCTCGTCGTCGTTCACTGGTCAGTTCCGAGTCCGACGTGGATGGTCTCAGCCGAGTGGCTCTTTCCTTACGCTCGTCCTCACTCCGTATTCGGTAGTGGAAGCCCTTCGCTTCGTAGCGATCGAAACGTTGGCACTCCGTGCACAGAGTGCGGGGCCAATGTGGCGCCACGGCCGTCCACGGAATGACGATCAGCTCGTTAAATGGCAACAATATCGAGTAGGGTGGAAAGTGCGYATCGATAATGACAAATCYGGCGTCTACGAACCCAGAACAACGGTTGGCCGGAGGGAAGTAATACTGCCCGTCGATTTGTGCGAAGGCTTCTCGTACGTCCCACTCACATACACGTATCCTTTCCTCACTGTAGGGGAAAGGTCGCGTTGGGATGGGAGATACGGGAAGCTGGCGCCCAATCCAAAGGTGCTTGTTAGTCCACATATCAAYCAATCATATATATATTCAGAGGCATCATTTCGAGCAAAAATCATTCATGCGACCCTCAATCTACCCTTCTTGACACATGAGGGAGCAGACACACMTCAGCTTGTTGGTTTCCGGCGCCTTGTTTCTTAAGGTCGCCTGRTGGCGTGGCTGCTGATGTCGTGCCGCATAAGGCAGATGGCATGCGCAGTGCGATCGGGACTATGGATCTAAACACTCTTGTATTCTCGAACAAAATCYCGAGSACATTCRTCTAATCAATTCGAAAAGCTACGCATCTCTATACATGC